AATCAGTAAGCAGAAAATGATTTCATTCTGTAAAATATAAGTAGAAAAAAAACAGATTTGACTCCACTAAGTGTAATGGACACTAGGTGGTGCTATTGGACAATTTTTGCTGCACAACTGCCTACACAATAACTAAATGCAGTTTGATTTTCAACATTAAATTGTATGTTTTATCCAAAACTAAAATGCTTTTGAAAAATAAAATTATTAATTTACACACTTAGAGGATTAGTTCCACCAAAAATGAACTAGCAGTGAGGTATCAACGTAGAATGGCTGTGTGAAAAGATCAAGGAACTACTCATCGGTCCTTTACTTGCATTCTTCACAGAAATGCACTGTTGCTGATTTTCCTCATTATATTTATTTTTTTAATTCTTTTTAAATTATTTAGTGGTAGCCTCAGATGCTGGATAATTTCACCTGTTATCAAAAGCAGGTGTTATTGCTGAGTTTACTGACCTCCTGACTGCTCCAATTCTTTGCAGCAGAATTTGGCTGTGGTGGCTGCTGCTGGGTGATGGACCGGGGCATTATCAGAGAACATGAAGTCGCTGTAATGAAGGACTGAGCAAACACCCTGCTGCGCTGCTTTTCGCACCTGCAACACACGGACAATCATTATTCAGAAACCTCAAATAATCATAGTCAGTCACTCTGCAATGCGAGTACAAAAATAGTGTTTCCATACTATAACAACTAGTGGTGGATAGAATGATTAAAATCTTAAATGGCACAAAAGGAATATCAACGGTAACATTCCAACTCTGAGCGAATGGGAATCAAACAGACAGACCTTTGGTTTAGAGTGCACTGTGAAGCTCAAAAGCCCATGGTAAATCTGTAAAGTTGAAGGGTAACTCCAGACAGACAGATCCTGTTTACGCAGCAAAGTCGCTAGACAGGATATGATCTGCAAATTAATATGGCAGCGATTAGCATGGCAGCAATTAGAATATAAAAGTGCAAAATAATAAGACACAAAGCACACTTCCTCCTCAAATCACAATCTCATTACGTACATTTCCCCTCTGGTGGTCTTCAGCCATTTTAGATTAAAAAAAACTTTTTTGGCACTTGCTAGATGAACAAAATCAATCAGGGGCTTTAGAAAAGACTAAATTGTCTTTATAAACAATTTAAAGTCACAAATTAATAAGAATAGGAAAATTACATTGCAGTACTTTGAGGCACAATTTACAATTCAGCCAAGATGTAGTCTTTGACAATATCTAATCTACCTTCCATGCATTAAATTTTAAATACCTTTGATTTATTATTAACTAGAATATTGTATTAATTGAAAATTGAATCCTTCCCTAAAATATTAGAGGTGAAAATTGTCTAGCACCATGAAATCCTCTCAAAATAAACAATATGACCGAAACAAAATACAGCCCATTTCATTTCATTAAAAAATACAAGCTTCTGCTGAGAATCAAATTGTTAGATTTATGAGAAGAGTGTACAAACCCATCGCAGACAGGACAAAGAGTCAGAATTGGCTTGGTTTGACATGATATCTATTAAAGCCTTGGCTGTGTCTGAGAACTTCTTCTTAAGCACTGCCACAGGCATCCTTGAAAAGATGAGCAGAACATGTACTTATTTAGATTAACAGCTAAGGCAATCCAAATTCCTTCCTATGCTGTTGTTTATTTGACTCATGACACGCCACTCACCTTTTCATGACCAGGTTTAGGAGGTAGGCAACAGCTGCCAGAGATTCACTGCTGTCTACAGCTTCGAGAGTTGTCATCTGCCAATTGAAAAATGCAAAATGAAAAGACATTCATAGATTGATCCACAGAAAGTGCACTTTTAAGCATTTTGACAACCAAGTCAGTATGAGACAAATTGATTTCATGGTGACTTTAATTTACCAAGGCTGCAAAGTACTCTGTCTCTGTCTCCTTTCCTCCCTGAGACCGAATCACTTCGGTTACAGCCGCCAATACAGCACAGATCTGTAGAAAATGAAGACATTCATTATACATGATGTGGTTTCAACTTAAAGGAATATTATAAAAAATATAAATAAGTAAATTCCTCTCCCTAAAGCAATCCAAAATGTAGACAAGTTTTTCTTCATCAGAACAGATTTAGAGAAATTTAGTATTAAATCACTTGCTCACCAATGGATTCTCTGCAGTGAATGGGTGCTGTCAGAAAGAGAGTCCAAACAGCTGACAAAAACATCACAATAATCCACATGACTCCAGTTCATGTTTGTAATAAACAAATAGATCAAGAGGTTTTTTAACTAAAAAAATATTGCTTCCGGCTAAAATATTGCTTTATCCAGTGAAAAGGTAATCTCGCCTGAATCAAGACAGAAGTATGCACAGATGAAGCACTGTTTAAAAGCAAAAACAGTCCAAAACAGTTCCAAGCAAACATGTCAGTGGATTTTTGATGTGAGAGGACAACGGGGAACGGACCTTTTCACTGAAGGAAACATTATTATGGATTATGGATAGGTAGGTCAGAAGCGAATGTTTAAAGATAATGCCTTAATAATGGATTTTTTTCTTACTAACATGCAGATTTTCACTTCATAAGACGTTAATGGATAGACTGGAGTTGTGTGTATTAATTGTGGATTATTGTGATGTTTTTATCAGCTGTTTGAACTGTCATTCTAATGGCACCCATTCATTCACTCACCCACTGGTGAGCAAGTGATGTAATGCGAAATTTCTCCAAATCTGTTCAAATAAAGAAAAACTCATCTACATGTTGAATGGCCCGAGGGCAAGTAAATTCAGCAATTTCATTTTTGGGTGAACTTTTCCTTTAACAATATTCTAGTAATAATAGCTTATGGTGCAGCTCTCTGGCCATCAAACTGAATACAAACCTCTTTATGTGCTGCAGAGTTTGACTCCCAGTAGCGCTGTACTTTTCTAAAAGTGAGGTTGGAGCAGTCCGACAGTCCACTAAGAAAAGTCCCAGAGGTTTTCTCTGTCATGGCTTTATCTTCCATGGCATCTCCTGCTTCCATGGCATCGCTGCTTCTCTGCAGAGATCCTGCCTGAAGCTCATTGTGGAGTTTCAAGGCATCTACTGTCAGATCACTTTTTTCTGTTTAAATATAGACAGAGATCTGGTGAATCTCAGGTTCACATCAACCAGACCATCTCAACACATTGTTATGACATACTAGTCACGAATACAGTCAAAACATCGGCAGTCCAACTAACTGTAAGAAATTAAAAAGACGCTATGATTTAAACTACTTTTCAATAAACCCGAAATTAAATTAGTCGTCGCCCTCCAAATGAACCAAGCATGATTTTTTAGCTTATTTACGAAGTTCGACCAGCTAACGTTACCCACGTGTTGTCAGACAGGCCAAAGTCTTACCAGAGGGACGGCTGAAATATCGACTTCTCGCGGCCTTTCGATAGCGACTTGTCTCCGGATTGGAGTCACTACTGTGCCCTTTCTTCCATCGCCTGATTTTCTGGGCTGTTCCGGATCGAAGTTTTCCGGACTTCACCATTTTAGCAGGTGAAAATCCTTACAGTGCTGCAGTCACGCTTGTCTCTCCAGTCTGACTCTGCGTGTCGCGCTTAGGCTTGCGTCATCAGCGGGCGTCTTCTTTGGTGGGGGTCGCATACCGCCATCTACTGAGCATTAAAAAAAATTCTTCTGCTTTTTTATAGTCTATTAAATCTTGAAAATTATGTGTTTTCCTAACTCTCCTAAATGCTTTCCTTTTCTTTAGCATTAAAAAATAAACTCACGAGTTGCTTTTATGTCCCTGTCACACTGTTTCTAATTAAACTTTGAACAGTTTAATTATTATTCCTGCTCCTCGACCACTATGTAAGAGATGAACTTAAAATTAACGGTAACCTGAAATTTCTAAGTCTTTTATTAATTTAATATGTTCTCTTTCATTTTAAGAGATAGCATTTAAACAAGTTCTACTGTCTCAACTTCCAAAAATTCACCACATACAATTAAAGACCATTTTGTCTACTTTTTCATTTCCCTTAATTCCAACATGGGCTGGCACTCATATAAAATATACTATACTAGTTTCAATTTGCTTCATCTTGTATATTATTAAAATATCAAAAGATCAAAGGATAACAAAAAGGTTTCCACTTACTCACACATGACAGGACATATGATAAGAGTTTGTCAGTCAGACATATATCTTTGTATGTTGTTTATTAAAATATGGTGTTAAAAATAAACCTTTCTCTGGTATTTACACTGACACACATTCTGACAAGTTTTAAAATTGCTATTTAATTTCATCACATCATATTAAATAAATCTTCTCTGCGGTGATTGGCATTATGCCACAAATGATGTTAACAGAATTTCTCTTGTATTCACTTCATTTCAATTCGTAAATGAAGCCAGTCAACCTTTCAATCAAAAATTCAGTTAAAAAGACACCTTTGCCACAGTATAAAAATCTGTCAAATGTAATAAAAACTTGTGAAATGTTGACAGTGAGAAACTGTTAAATATTACAATATGCAGTAATTGTACATTTTAGACCTAGTTGCTTTGTTTCAACATTGGATTACAAACCGTATTCATTTAAAATTAATTTTTATTAGAAATGATTAACCTGTCTGTCCTGCAATAAATTATAAAATCATGTCTACAAACAAATGTATACAAACAACTTCAGCATATGAACACAGGTTGTTGTTTTTTTACAGATAACACAGATACGTAAGAGTCTCATAACAGTCTATGATTAGTGCCCTAATAAGATTTTTAAAATCCATACGCTCTGTAAACTGAAAAGAGTTCTGCTCAGTAACGGACAGCAGACTGAATCAAGGATCAAGGCAAATGATACCACATAGAATATGGAAATGAATATCCACACAACATATGTAGGGATATTAAAACCAAGAAGGCAAAGTATCTAATTTAATATTATACATTTAGTATGCTACAATTATAGATTGTTAAGCACACAGTAAATAAAAAGAAACTTAAGAACTGATTTTGCAAAATCTTGTGAATACTCCCCAATTGCTGTGGAACTATATTAATGTTTTACACATGCTTATATGCATGTATATTTGACCTTTTCAGCTCCTCATAGGTTCAAGAAAGTAGACATTTCTGGAAGAAATGTTTGTGCTTAATATTTAAAAAGCACAAGTGCTGAAACTCACACCTGATCAGTGACTTTATATAATGAAAACATAGGTTTGAGTTCATTGAGTCCCAGTTCAAAGATTTGTGTTTAGTTGGGAACAATGGGCTGACTAACAATGACCTGTATTACAAAGTCCTTCTGGATCTTGGTGTCTTGTAAACGTGTTTTATCCGTGAGTAGCTTTCCAGAGAAAAACCAGCGCTGGTGGGCAGTATCAATGTCTTCCTGAATTTGAAGCTGTTTTTTCAGCTGACGAATGGAATCGGCCATCGTGGCGCTGAGGCGAAGGTCTTTTCCGCTGGAGAGACGCACCCTCAGCTGGAACTCCTTCTTCTCCTGTAGCTCAGAGTTTTCAGACACATTATGATCGTTGCACTTGGACACCAGGTTGACTGGAGGAGCCAAGCAGTATGCAGGGAGCTGATAGCGGTTCCCCAGTTCATCATAGCACTCCATAAGGGACCCTGAAAGAGCAAAACAAAAGCTCCAATTCAGCTCAAATGCTGTTGTCATTAAACCAAATGTGTATATTTAGTATGTGTATATGTATGTATATTTATTTGTATAAACGTTTGGGGTAAGTAAGATTTTTTAAAAGTCTCTTATGGTCAGAAAGGCTGAATTTTTTAAATTAAAAATACCATAACAACAGTAATATTGTAAATATTATTACGATTTAATTGAACTGATTTCTATTTTAATATATATGACCCTGGACCACAAAACATAAGGGTAAATTTTTCGAAACTGAGATTTATACATCATCTAAAAGCTGAATGAATAAGCTTTCCATTGATGTATGGCCAATTTTTGGCCGAGATACAACGATTTGAAAATCTGGAATCTGAGGGTGCAAAAAAATCAAAATATTGAGAAAATCGCCTTTAAAGTTGTCCAAATTAAGTCCTTAGCAATGCATATTACTAATCAAAAATTAAGTTTTGATATATTTACAGTAGGAAATTAACAAAATATCTTCATGGAACATGATCTTTATTTAATGTCCTAATGATTTTTGGCATAAAAGAAAAATCAGTAATTTTGACCCATACACTGTATTTTTGGCTATTGCTACAAATATACCCCAGCGACTTAAGACTGGTTTTGTGGTCCAGGGTCACATATTTTAAAATGTAATTTATTTCTGTGATGACAAAGCTGAATTTTCATCAGCCATTACTCTAGTCCTCAGTGTCACATCCTTCAAAAATCATTTTATTATGCCGATTTGATGCTCAAGTAACTTTTCTTATTATTATCAATGTTAAAAATGGTTAATATTTTTGTGGAAACCGGAAAAAAAATCAGGAGTCTTTGATAAACAGCACTTATGGGGAAAAAATTGTAACATTATAAATGTTTTTATTGTCACTTCTGATCAATTTAAATCAATTTCCTGAATAATTATTGCATTAATAATTCCATTAAAACCAATCGAATGATAATTATAAATATTTTGTAAGAAAAAAAAGTATTACATTTACAAAATACAAAAAACGGAAATATTTTCACTAGATCTGTGTTTAATGTGTACATTAAAATGCTGTTTAAATGTTTACCATGAGGCAGTGTGATGCTGACTCCATCTACAATAGCCTGCGCCAGTTCATGGTCGTTACATTCAATCGCTACAGCTGCAGCTTTCAGTGCATCCCAGATCTCTTTACGGCCATCAAAAGCTGGGGCCGTGTCCCAGAATTCATCTCTTTTACTGCGCAGCTGGCCCTCTGTCATAGGATATTCACTTTTCCACTTGGGCTTATCTTTCTTCAGGGGCTCATTGCGTCCTACAGGAGAAAAAGACATAAATGTAGAAATGTCACCTGAACAATCTCCTGATAATTTAGATATGCATTAAGTGGCCAGACCGTATCCGGGTGGCATCTGTAAAAATCCTGTTTCACAAAAATGGTTCTGATTTATTTTTAAAAACAAGGGCAGCAAATACGTCTTACATAGTGCATGTGACATCACAGCTTTTGCCCAAATGAGATTCAGTGGACCTTTCCAAGAATCAGATTTTCCATGCTAGAAGCTTCTCTTTGACATGTAGCAAAGATTTCTAAGCAGTTTAAAACTACTTTTCCTTTAAATGAACTATGAAGCTATACGGATCAAATGTAAAAAAGCAATAAAAATTAGCATCTAAACAACAACCTAAATCCCAACAGTCAAGCCAGCCCAGCTCAATGTCGACTAAAGACGAAGAGCTCATGTACAGTAGGTCAAAGGGAAATCCCTTTGAAGGCTATTGGCTCAGACCATAAGTGGCTGAATCATTTGTACACAAACAAAACGTGACAGAATCACCGCACAGATTTAAAAAGAAACATACTGTAAATGCTTTGAATCTTCATCACAATTGTAATAAACCTGCTTTCGAGTCAAAGCAGCTGTCACTGCGACACACTGGAAAAAACTAAACAAATTATTTATAGTGTCTGAGATTAAAGACTTAATCGGGCGATGCAAATCAGGATTTAGTGGCCTCTTTCCCATCATGCATCACTCCTAGTCAGATGAGAGTTTACAAGAGTAGAATGCCACAAAACAAACACATTCCATCATTCAGCACTTTCAATTTAAATTTGAAAAAATTAACTAATATCAAACCATTTAGCCTTAATTACTAAATTGTTCCTTTTTATTATGCATTCTTCTGATAAACAAAGACTTATAAAGTCCAAGTCCATGATGCACTGTAATAAACCAGCATGTTTAACACACATTTAAAGCATTTCTGTAATTCCACGCGCACACAAATCAAGCTGACTGTGTAAGTCATCAAACTAAACATGGCCAGTCCATCTAACATCTTGCGAACTTCCTTTTTAATTACCAAATACAGGCGATTAAAATGCTCATTTAATTTGGCTTCCAATGGCAGGGAACTTTGGTGTTACAGAACAGGCATGACCAAAAACCTGCCAAACTTTTCTTTAGATTTAGGGTCTTATACTAACAAATAAGTAGGCTACTGTATATCAACAACCCCAGCAGTTGTAGTATCTCTAACCATTCACTGCTTATAATTGTGCGCTGTACGCTACTTACTTTTCAGCACAACTGTTATCGTTGGTTGATAGTCTCTTGAGTTTGCAACTCCCATGGTCTGAGCAGTCAGTTATTCCTCTAACCAGTGAAAAGTTACTGCACAGTCGCTCCTATGACTTCATGCAGGGGTTTGAGAGACAATCAACTCCACATGCGCAGTGCTACAAGTTGTCCTGTCACAGCAAAACTCATGACACTCCGCTAGTAGCTTAGACCAGTTTCTTGCAAAATGTACACGCCCATCACCTGTTTTCTGAATCTAAAAATAACAACTGAACAAATATAAATCAAAGCAGATCACCAAGATATCTTCAAACAGCAAGAAATAGACCTTGCTTTTACAATCCCTGGCTTGGGTTTAGATGTATGAGTGACTTTTTACAACAAACCTAATCCAGTCAACTCTATTTTAGACCAGGACGGATAGTCAAAAATAAACTGTAAATCCCAGGATTGTCTAGAGCAGGTGCATCCAAGCGATTCCACAAATACATCTAATCTAAAATGTCCTAATCTTAATGGATTTCTAGGTAAAGGAAGAACATTTTAGCATTTAAGCAGACATGAAGTTGACATAATAGCCAATATGTTAATCTTCTTTGCGCTGTGCCATCAAAATTAAGTAATTCAAGGAAAATTCAAGGAGACTTTCTTTTATGTTGGTTGCTTAAGAAATCAATAACATTCTTTAGTTACTGCAGGGACTTACGGGTTCCATAGTGTAAGATCTGCCCTTGTACAACAAAGAAAATTGACCCTAAATGCCCATTTTGAAATGGTGCCTAGAGGAATTTAAGATGATTTTGGTGTTTTCAAAATGGGGTCCAGGGACCCCCAAGGGGCCACAAGGAAGTGCATGGAAAAGTTTAGATAAATAGGAGTAAAAATGTAAAAATAAATCAATTAAAATAATATTAAAACAAATAAATATAACCTTAAAATAGATTAAAATAAATAAATTAGTAAATAAAAAAAAAATCTAACAGTACAGTACTAAAAAATTTAATTTAATAGAAATATTTTTCAAATAATAATTAAGACACATTAATATTAATTTATAATACAGGAATTCCATAGATTCCTTTAAAATTTTAGTATGGGGGTCTCATGCACAAGGTCATATTTAGGAGTCCATGGCATTTAAAAATGTTTTTAAAAAACCCTATTATAATAGAAAAGTTACTCCGATCTTGACATTGTACAGTGATACATTCTCTAAAATATCATAAAATATCTAAATATCAGAAATATCGAAAAGAAAAAAAAAATCAGAGTAGGACAAATAAGTTTCCTCATTCAAGGAACACCACAGCCTACGCATTCACACTATTTGCAAAAAGGATTCCTCACAGATGAAGCCTTACCTCCTCCTTTGGTGCTGTATCTGGATGCATTCCTGGAGGACAAGTGAGACCTTTGTCGTATCACTCCAAAACAATTTCCCATCACTCAAACTCACACCAGGACCAAGCTTCATACGCCTGGATGCCCGAATAAATGCATTTCTACAGTCCTAGTCAATGACGTTAATAAATTATATTTTGTTTTTGCATAAGAAAGATTTGATCTAGTTGAATATTATTTTAGGTTATCAGATGTGTTGCTGTCCGAGGGCAGACACAAGCACGTTGTATTCCGCCGAGTCGACATTTGTCTTAAGCTGATCCAGGAAGACACAGTTATCACACTAATGAAGTCAGTAGACAGTTAATACAAATCTAAACTTGATATTAAATTATCCTCGGAGTTCAACACACACATACTTCCCGACGTAGTCCACGCTCAAATCACTAAAGAAGAATAAATCAGTGTAGAGCTCTAAACGATGAATCGGTGAACTGGTGAAATCTGCGACTAGAGGGCGCTCTTGCACATTATCGTGAACAAGCGCTCCATGGAGAAACAGCAGAAATACAGCAGGGGTAACAAATCTCCAATATGTATTAAAAATGATTATTAAATAAAATGCATATTCATATATATTTTCCCAAACACTACTCCAGTTACTGTTGCAACAATAAAACTGTAGTTATTTGCTATTAATCACCACTGACCTGGAGGGAAAAAAAGAATATGAAATGGTGAAATGATGGTACACTGCCATCTAAAGGCAGCAATATATTTAATGCACAGTGATGCATTTATAGATGTTAACAAAAATCTAAACTGTAAGATGATGAAACAAGACATTTATTTAACATATAATAAAATTCTAGGCAAGTTTCTTCAGATGTGGTTGACTTTGGAAATGAAGTATTGGATTTCAGTGCATTTAAATAATGATACTGTAAGTGATATAAATAATGAGTTAAAAATCATATTTACATAATCAAACATTAAGCCCCACATGGCTACAAAACCGGCTTTAAAGGAATAGTTCACCCAAAAATGAAAATACTGTCATCTTTTACTCACCCTCCACTTGTTCCAAACCTGTACGAGTTTCTTTCTTCTGTTGAACACAAAAGAAGATATATTTTTGGTAACAGTTGACAGTAGGCACTGACCTTCATAGTATTTTTTTCCATACTATGGAAGTCAATGGCAACCGTTAACTGTTTGGTTACCAACATTCTTTAAAATATCTTTTTTGTGTTCAACAGAAGAAAGAAACTTACACAGGTTTGGAACAAGTGGAGGGTGAGTAAATGGTGACAGTTTTTTCATTTTTGGGTGAACTATCCCTTTAAGCACAGAATCTTCCATAGATCGCACAGACAACTGTCATGATTTCATTATAAAATATTGATAGAAACATCCAAAATATGCATGGTATTTTTGGAGGGCAGCCCTTTCATTTGGCCAGAAAGAGCAAAAGTCCTCCAGTGAGATCACTGTCTAAATCTGGGCTCTGCAGACTCCTGTGTTCCCAGGGCTCTAGTTCTGCATTCAGCCTTGGCACAGCGGGTGAGACTCACCCTGATGAGCATGTTGGTCATCGCCAACTAATACAGTCAAGTCTTTAAATGTCTCAGACTGGCATCATGTCTTTTTTAAGAGGGTAAATGTCCCATGTCAGTCCGTCACCATATGGGGTATGTCCAGAGGGCAGGAGAACACGAGTCAGCCAATGACTGTGAAGACGATTATAATAATTTACATTAAAATCACAGCTTACAGACTGTGGAATTTGACTAAGAGCATGTAAAATGTGTAATTTTACCTTCTCTTTTCTACACCAAAGAACACCTTCCAGTTGTTAAGTTTACCATAACTAAAAGGATTACGATAGACCTTTAAAAAGAGAGAAAAGGTCAAATCATAGATCAAAAATAATTATAAAATATGTTATAGTTTTGACATAGTTACCAGAGATCAAACAATAGGAAGAAAATAAATTCCAATCAGTTATAAAAGTTCAGACTTTTATAACTTACCTTTCCACGTTTTGCCAAACGTTTGGCCTCTTTGTTGTTTATATGGCGTTCAATGCTGGTTTCTCCCCGGGTGATAAGTACAGCATGCCACAGTGTGAGAGCTCCTAGGGCGACTGACACTGTGCTGATGTAAAAAACAGCAAACATAACAAAAGATGTGAGTCTATGGAAATAGTAAAACCAGTACTGGGGTCGCAGTGAAAGAATAGACTACCTTGTAAGGACCCACATGTAGATAACACTCTTGTGAAACATCCTGTCGTTGTAGGTGTATGGAGGTTGTGAAATTTCCTTTGTCCATTGAAGCATCAGAAAAGCAAAAAATATTTTACATTATTCAAAATATAATGCATAATAATAAATATAATTTACATTAATAAAATATAGCAATATACTTGAAGATAATTTTATAAATATAAAGATTTAAAATATTATGTGAATACTGAGTTATATGAGTGCAACTACTGTATGTTATTTATGCATACATACTAATGTTCAAATATTTGGGTTTAGTAAGATCTTTTAATGCTTTTTTTAAAAAGTCTCCTATGCTCACCAAGGCTGCAATTATTCAATTAAAACATTTCCTGTTATCGTCAAACTAAAAACTACACGTGCAATGTTTCTGATTCATTGCTCCAAATGGAAATTGTAACGCACCAGATAGTACCAAGCAGAGCTTAAAAAGTCTAAAGTTCACCAGTAAATCTCCCTCATCTAATTGTAAGTAATACTCATTTAAATATGCGCTGTTAGCATTGGGATAGGGAAGGTCAGAAATAATTTGTTGGTTTTCATAGCATGCTGTTTGTTTAAGAGTGTTAAATAATGAACCGTGATACAGAAAACAACAATTACAGCTCTAGAGCCAAAGCAACAGCAGGAAAAACGACTTGAGCCACCTGTACTCCCTTCCCAGCCACGCCTTCTGACGGGACAATGCCGATGAGCAACCCAATCCCTGTCACCGGGACACCCTGTTTCTCCGCTTCCAAGTGTCTGAATTGCTATGGAATGGCAGAGAGACAGCTGGCAGTTAAAACATGGCCACTACACCAGACTTTAAGAACAGAAAAAGAAAAGGAGAGACACAACCATTCAGAAAGAGAGGAGTTAAACGCTATCTACCTTATTCGTTAGAATAAGTAAAGGAAAAAACAATGCCCACCGAGGTGTTTTTCAAGCTTCAAAATGTTATGATACAAAGACCGAGTTAGACTAAATGGAAAAGAGCAAAGACAAAACAACAAATGTATTAAAAAAACAAAGCCTTACATCTATGGCATTGTATGCATCGATAAACAGATTGCGACCGCTGATGCTGCAATACATGCAGCCCAAAGTCAAAAAGAGACAAAAGGAGAAGAAGTAACGATGATTGTAATGGCCAACACAGTTGTTAAGCCAAGCTGAATATCAATAATTAAGGACTTAACTACACAGAAGTGGAAAAAGATGAATTGCATCTGGGCTGTTAAAGGAATAATTCACCAAATTTAATTTCAATTCTATCTAAATTCAATTTAAATGTAAATTTGATTGTTACTCACTCACATTTGAGTCATTCTAAACCTTTACTACTTTTGTTCCCCTGTGGAACGCAAAAGGGAAACTGGAGAGCAACAATGCCTGTCAAGCTTTTCAGCTGCCTTTTCAGTATTTTTCCAACAGGGATTTTTTAATAAAGTCTTTGTTAAAAAGTTATAAGCCATGAACAAATCCAACTAGCTACAAGGCGATTCATAATATTACAAATTTTGATTTGAAGCAAAAAAGTATTTGAAAATTGGACAAAAATACAATGGTACAAGTACTTAAAGAAATACTTCAGTTAAACATAAAAGAAGATATTTTGACCTCCATAGTCGTTTTTCCCATTCTTTTTTATGTTCAACAGAAGAGAGAAAATTTTCACTTTTGGGTAAACTATACTTTTAACGGTTTTAATAAGGGAAATATCTACAATACCATGAAGAATTTTAAATGACAATCATAACAAAAAGCAATGGATAATTATAAAACTACTG